CATACAGTTGAGAACTCATTATCGGTTTCAACTTTGTATACTCATTCTTACATACTCAAATCAACCAGAATAGTGAATGACTAACTATCTGCACTGATCAACATCGCTTTCATGCATGCATGCTTCATCGTATGAATTTTACTCTTTCGATTTTTACTGACGATTTGTGGAAATAAGTGTATATAGTATGGTTCTAATGAAACCTGTTTGACCTTGCATGGATGCACTGATAAGAAACAGTATGCGGAGATGTTTTCAGGGTATATCAAGATATCTATAATATTTAGGGCCTCTGGAAGTCAATCTAAACTTTTGTGTTCCACCCAATTACGTCGATATAAGCAAACACAGCTCAATCAAAATTCATATCATCGATGGATGATAGATCCAAGTCATATTTCCAGCGACTCAGGGATACTTATTCGGGAATCAACAATTTTACTGAAGGGGTACATCAAAGATCACATTCAACATTCAGTTGGGTCTGAGATCAATATGGATAAAATGCCTTCGCCATATGTTACATGTTTCAAGTAGTTAATCTCAGAACTATTTAATTGAACACTTCCGAGAATTGAAAACACAAGAAGGCGATTGAAAATTCGAAACATTTTTCAAATCAATTCATCTCAATGATGAAGCCTTCATGGATATAATTATTTTCGTATAATCTGAGGTGAATTTCAAGTGAGTTTCTGTGATGATTTTTGAGCCAGGTATCTCTTCTCCATGTTCAATCCATATCATTCTGCTAGTAGTTTTATTTTAATTGACTTTAAGGCCACAAATCGATTGCTGCAATTCGTTTTTCCGGTGAAAATATTATGCAGGCTCATTTATACTGAATCCATGTTCGGCTTCTCATCATGAAAAGAGTAATATTATTCTCTGCTTATGATGCATAAAATGATGATGAAATACCGAAAATTCAGGAGTTAATAGATTCCAATCAACATGAAACTATGTCACCATTCACTCCTAGATGGGGCTGAAAATGGATATTTATAAGTTCGAAACATGTCTTTTTTATTGATTCACATCATTAAGTGTGGTCGTGATGACTTCCCTAACAACACCAGTACATCCTAGGGGCTTCCCATGGACGTCCCTGATTTTATACTAGGACATCTCAGGGATGTCCTCTGTCGGGACAACGTACATACTAGGGATGTCCCAGGGACATCCGCTGGCCGCTAAAAAAGGCATCCGAGGGATGTCCTTCTGGTACGTCCCTGGGACGTACCAAGTACCATGGAAGGATATCCCTAAAACAACCCAAGGATATCCCAGGGACATCCTTTCGACGAAAGAAAAGAAGGTGCAGGTCGAGTAGGGATTGAACCCGGGACCTTTGGCTTATCATGCACGCACCTTGCTCCATTGGTTATCATGCCTTCTGAAGATTTATGTACTAAACAGATTCATAAACAGGACCTAACTACAGAAACCTGAATAAATACAACTTTATTAGGAATTGGGTATAATTATTATCGTTCTTGGGTGTTTAAAAATGAGGGGCATTATGCATGTACGATTTCTGTCTGCGAAAAATGGTAATTTCTTAAGAAGTTCTGAGACTTTATTCTTTATTTTCATTACAATCATTTTCCGGAAAAGAAACAAACATTTTCAAAAAAATTCAACTCAATAGTTTGATGAAATTCAATGACTCTGATGTGAATGGATATCAGATACTCCAGGGACACGGAAAGAATAACCTAGGGATGTACCGGGCGGGATGTCCACTGGACAACCACTGCAGGACATCCCCTGGATGTCGCAATCATGTCCTTGAACCGCGGGACAAAAAAGGGACGTACCTAGGACATCCCTGTGTTGTTAGGGTTAGAGCTATCCTTCTCTCTTCTGATTCAGACAATGCCAACTTTGAAATGTAGGATCAAAAACGTTGAGATGGATGGAATTGCTTTTGTAAAACTTTCAGGTTTTTTGGATGTTATTGAAGAAGGAGCCTCGTGGTTTCCTCGTTCCTTGTTCACTTTCGAGAGGATTTTGCATACATACAAGGCAATTTTGAAAATCTATGAATTCAAGAATCCTGCTTCCATATCTGAGAAGTTTTAGGAATTAGCATTTTTCCGTAATTCGGTAAGTAGTACTTTCCGGATAAGGCCAGGAAGTATCACATCGTTGTTGTCACTGTAACAATAGAAATCTTGGTAGATATGGTTTTGATAAATACAGGTGATAATAAATCGGCTGACATCTATTCGACATTAAATTAGTTGACATTTTGATTTTTGAGAGTTTGGTTGCAATACATCGTGGTTGCAATTATCGCAATAAACTTCCGAAAGCAGCTGCGATAGTGAGTTTGATTTCCAATGTAACAGTTAGTAGGTGTAGGTATTTTGTTCAAATTTCAGTATTTGATACGAATGAGAATTAATAAAGAAGAGATTGTATTCTACAAAGTAATATAACATGGAAATGTGTCTAACTGACTCATTATTCTACATGGTTGCTGGAAAAATAGTGTACCTACGCAACGAGCCCAAAAAGAGTTTTTTTTGACTCGCAGACTTCCAGGAGTCGCCTACAGCTCGGCCTAGAACTTGTTACGTAAATCACTGTTATCTACTCACTGCTTCGAAAGTAAGCGTTTGCTACCGCAGTCAAGGACACAAACCTGTCAATTCACTTCCACGGGAGTAAACAGGATTTTACCTCCTGTGGGAGGTGAAATGAATAGGCTTCAGATTGCTTCCTTGGTAGAGATATACGAATAAGATTTGTGCTAACCAAGTACCTAATCAGTAGTGTCTCCTCCACTACTATTAAACAAATAAAATTTCCATTTCAAACTCCAAAACACTCATACACTTCCTCATTTTCCAAACTCAATGAATCGAAAGTCTAAACTTTGAATAAAATGCAATATCACAATAAACAAATTCAATATCACAGAAGTGTCAAATAGATTCTTGTTCAGATTCAAATATACTGTCAATTATGGTCCGTAGCATACTCTGTGGGTGCATACTACACATTGGTAACCTTAGATCATGTAACACATTAATTTGGATCGAGACTTAAGAGGGAGACCGCTTGCAGCACAATTTCAAGATTGAGGCTTTCAAATACATGCGTTCGTGTATAAAATCATATACATATCTTGGGAGCAAAGGTTCATTTCCACCCATGTGTGTTTAATCAAACTTCACACGCGGGAGAAAATGGATACCTTTACTCTCTTGATATCTAAATAGCTGATGTTGAAACTTTAACAATGATTTCCACAAATATCTCAAACACACATGTTCAGTTAACACAGTTGCTTCGTCAGGTGATATACTGGTACGATGAACTGAACTAACATTGGCTTGCTTATATATCCTAGAGTCCCAACCTGAAGGATCTGTTACCTGTGGACAGGTTCGATAAACCTCCATTTTCGGAAATCAGACACAATATCTTCATTAAAATACGGTGTACCGGATTAATTTGAAAGGGTTGATATCAAATACATATGGGAAAGAAATCCAACAGTGGTGAACTATTGAGGTGTAATTGATCGTTAAGTAAAATTTGAGTTTGTTGATTTCTAACGATTCAAAATGATTCAGTTTCATTCCTATATTTTCCACGTGTAGAATTTCGAAATTATCATCAAAACTATGGTTATCTTTCAATATATGGTTGGTGTATGTTCAATATGATTTCTTTTTTAAGAAATGCATTCTATGTTTATGAATGCGCTGAATAAACGTACGACCTGTCTGACCGATATATACCTTAGGACAAGGAATATGAGATGAATTCTTTTAAACCATAGTTTTGATGATAATTTCGAAATTCTACACGTAGAAAATGAAGGAATGAAACTCAATCATTTTGAATCATTAGCAATCAACAAACTCGAATTTTCTGACATTTTACTTAACGATCAGCCTAACAACACAGGGATGTCCTAGGCACGTCCGTTTTTTGTCCCGCGGTACAAGAACATGATTGGGGCATCCAGGGGATGTCCCGCAGTGATTGTCCAGTGGACATCCCGCCCGGTACATCCCTAGGTTATCCTATTCGTGTCCCTGGAATATCTGATATCCATTCACATCAGAGTCATTGAGTTTCATCAAACTATTGAGTTGAATTTTTTCAAATGTTTGTTTTTCTTCCGCAAAATATTTGTATTGAAACTTAAGAATAAGGTCTCAAAACTTCTTAAGAAATTACCATTTTTGAACACCTAAGAATTATGATAATTATACCTAAATCCTAACGAAGTTGTATTCATTCAGGTTTCTGTAGTTCAGTCCTGTTTATAAATTCGTTTAGTACATAAATCATCAGAAGGCACATTAGCCAATAGAGTAAGGTTCGTGCCTGATAAGCTAAAGGTCCCGGGTTCAATTCCTACTCGACCTACATTTTTTTTTCTCTTGTCGAAGAAATGTCCCTGGGTTATTCTTGAGACGACCTAGAAATATCCCTTCTTCGTACTTGGTACATCCCAGGGACGTACCAGAAGGACATCCCCTGGATGCCTTTTTTGGCGGCCAGCGGATGTCGCTAGGACATCTTCGGTATGTACGTTGTCCCGACAAATAACATCTCTAAAATGTACTAGCATAAAATCCGGGACGTCCCTGGGAAGTGTTGTTACGGCAATAATACCTCAATTGTTCATCACAGTTGAATTTGTTTTCTCAATTGGTGATTATATGTATTTACTATCAACCCTTTCAAGTTGATCCGGTACACCGTATGTCAATGAAGATATTGTGCCTAATTTCCGAAAATGAAGGTTTATTGAACCTGACCACAGGTAACTGATTCTTCAGGTTGGGAAAGTAGGATATATAAGCAAGCCAAGGTTAGTTAAGTTCATCGTACCAGTATATCACCTGACGAAGCTACTGAGTTAGCGAGACATGTCATGTGTTTGAGAATTTTGTGGAAATCTCATCGTTTGTGAAGTTTTCACATTTGCCATAGATTTCCATCAAGTAACGGCCGATTCAATTCAAAATATAAATAGCTATTCCCTCCAACACTTTATCCATATTGATATCAAGAAAGGTGGAAAGCTGGATACCGAGCAGGTATTTAAATCTCGTAATTTCTGAATTTACTGACAACCTCGCTGGGCGGCTCCTTTCCCCAAGGGGACCCTGCCCCACGGCCGCCCCAATGGAGGTTAGCCCCCCCTTCGGAGGCCCTGCGGTGGGCAGCAGACCCCCCGCTGCCAAGGCTAGAGGGGCCGGAAGATCCTCCGGATTCCAGCATGCGGTCCTTGGTCTTGGGGGTACTCCAATGCATGGACTGAAACACAAATTAGATATTAGATAAGATAGGAAGATGTGAGAGGGGATTTGAGAGGGTTAGAAAACACAAAATCATCTCAATCGCAGATTCGTGATTAGATTTTTTGCCAATTCAGAATTTCTTTCCACGTCCTGTATGATAAATGTCAATTCATTATACATCCGCCTTTTCATAGGGGTACTGACAGGGCACAACAGGTTACGCAGACACCTATCACTCATAGGTGTGGGAGATAGTTCCCAGCCGTGAATGCGGAGAAGATGAGGAGACATCACTTCACTCCCTCGGAGAATATGAGGCGTATGGAAGGATGAGATTCGAAATCTTTGGAGTTGATAAACTACAACAGGAAGATTTGGTCGAATTAGAGTGGACAGACATCCTGACCTTCATCAGAAGGTCGGGAAGATTCGAGAAAGACAACTAAAAGAGGGATGTGTAGATATGTGGGGAGCAGGGGTTGGCAAAGGGCCCATGGGGGCCTACTTGCCTGGCTACAGCCTCCTCACACTACTACTATCATACATTCAAAAAACCAATGCCCAAATGACAGGACTATATGTCAACAAATCATAATAATTCTCAGATGTCAGTCCGTTATAGTTTTGGTTATATTATAGGGAGATGAAAATTATCATGAAGAATGGCTAAAAGAATATGTGGACTTCAGGTTACTAATGTGGATATGATATCCGGAATTAATTCATACAACCTGTTCGTGAGAGATATAATTCCCATATCACTGATACGAATGATTTGTTTGGAAGTCCCAAGCTCATCAAAATGAGAGATCATAGAAGTATACTAAACTTCTCCTATACATTTCAATTTCCATTTCAAAACTTAACCTTTTTGTTAAGTTATATTCTTATATCATAATACATCATATTAATTCATTCGATTTGAGAGATGATGTCAATTCTCAATTTCAGAGGATTTTGATTTTTCATACTCTTTTTTTGAATATTGTCACGAGTAGAACATACAGTATATTATAGTTATTTGGAACCATGAGGGTTTTATAAACATAAAATCAATCAAATCATCTATTGACATTGAACTATGAAAACTGACCAAGGAACTCTCATGAGAAACGTGCAAATCTAATAAAATGATGTAAATAAATATTGGATGTGAGGGTTCCGAAGTAAGTCTGGTCTGGGGCTACTCTTGACTTGGCAAGAGCCCGTCGTAATGGTCGTTATAATGTAAGTTGTTATTCGGTCTTTATATTCATTGTTGGTTATTCATATTTGTCATTGCCACCCATAATGTTTCATGCTTCAATACATATTGTTATCTTTGAATGTAGTCTCGTTCTTTCAGTTACCCCTAAACTATTAGTGCCTATTTAAATATTACCTCTAGCAGAATATTAAGCCAATCATATTACCCCTTATAAATCGATATGTATCAACAAACAACTCGATAATCGTGACAATATTCAACACATATAATTCAATGTTCCATGTTGCAAAAAGCCAGGAAAGTAGTTGTTTTTCTGTTGAATGTTATGCATTATATTATATGCATATATTTATATGAAGGAGAATGCAAATTCTCTACTTCAGAAGATTTTGTTTTCAAATTCTTATCAATAGATTTGATTCAATATTCGTCGTGGGATATAGCCAGGAAAGTAGTTGTTTTCTGTTGAATAAACCGAGAAAGGATTAATATTTTCATCACATGGAGAATGCGAATTCTCAATGTATTTTTTTTATATATGTATCCATTTTTTGCGTTCGTAAATATATCTGAGAATGTTCCTTTTCAATATCTCCACAACGTTCAATAATCGAAAAATTATTTAGGGGAACATGTTTCGGACAGTCATGTGTCCATCATCAGCCTCAATCCTTACAGACCAAAGTTTCTATGATATGATACTAGTGAATCATGAAAGATGTATAAAATAGAGTGTTTACTCACGTGGAAATGAAAAAAAAACATTATGAAAAATACATCGATAAAATTATTGTGCAAATAAGCACCGATCGAAGGTCAGGTGAATTGTGTAGGAGCCCTGTGCCACTATGAGGTCGTACATCATCACGATTCAATGGCAAAACCCATTTGTGGAATAACCGAAAAAACGGTGAAGTCAAATAATTACTCAAAACAAACCTTCATCATCAGATGATACAGGACAAGTGGCGTTTCCAGCAATCCACAAAACGCAGAACGCGTTATATATAGTATTCAATTCAATTTGATATTGAATTGAATACTATGAAACAGAAAGGTCTTAACAATGGTTTTCCCAGACACCATATCGATAGACTATACCACCACCATTCCCTCAAATCTTTGAACCAAAATTTAATACCAGTCACAAAAGCCAAATCCCGCTTTGCCTCTATTTCAATTCTTGACAAGGTTGAAATGTTGGGGATGAAACGTCTAAATAACGTGTTTATTTCCTGGTCATCTCCAACCAAATTTCAACATTGAACTTCCCAACAACTAACGTTATTTCCACGATTCCAACCGTTATTCAACGTTTTATCAACGAGTTTGTACTGGGATCAAGGTTTTGCATTGCAAATTTCCTTCCCAATTACAAATCGTGTCAGTTCAACAAAATAGTCCTTTCGCTACGCAGCCGGAATATTTCGACTGTTAAACTGACACTGTTCATACAAACATAAAAACTTGATCAACAAGTATAATCCGAATACTTTGAAGTACTCATATAGTATTACAAGTGAATATTGTCCAGGCATGCTGATTCTCTTGTAGATTGGATAATTATTACTGGTATATTTATAACTCTAATATTGCGATAGGTACTAATAGCACTAAACTTTCTCGAAGTATTCGAATATCACTCAAATAATCAAAACTCTCCGGACTTTGTTACATAAATTCAAACTCCTCTCCCAACTCATGGAATTACCCCAACTAAAAATGATTTATTATGCACTAATAGAATCAAGATCGAATTATGGAATACTAGGGTGGGGGGGAGTGGCCAATTGCTATTTGGAGAAATTGAACATCTTGCAGAAGCTCTTTCTCAAAATAATGCACAATAAAAATAGGAACACGGGGAATCTCTAGCTGTCGCGTTGGACATTTCGAAAGCATTCGACCGTGTTTGGCACGAAGGACTCCTCCACAAACTACCATCATACGGCTTACCACCTCAGCTATGCCATCTCTTATCGAGTTTTCTTTCAGGCAGATCGCTTCACGTGGTGGTGGACGGTGTATCGTCTGATACCTTTGGCATCAATTCCGGCGTTCCACAAGGATCAATTTTGGCACCAACATTATTCCTGCTTCATATCAATGATCTGTTGAGAGTAACAACTTGCCCCATCCATAGCTTTGGAGATGATAGTACCCTCCATACTGCGTTCTCTTCTAGAATTCCCATTTCTTCCCAGGAAACTAAGAACTCACGGCGCAGGCAAGTCAATGCTGTCAATGAAGATATTGCTGAAATCACAGCCTGGGGAACAAACAACCTAGTTGAATTCAACGCCACCAAAACTCAAGCCTGCATTTTCTCTAGAAAGGCGGAACTCAGTATGCCCGATATTGTAATGTCTGGCTCCACCATCCCCACCAAGCCCACCATATCTATGCTCGGTATTTCCATCAGCAACACTCTTTCATGGGATAATCATGTCAGATCCATCGCAAAAGCTGCTTCACAAAAACTCGGATTCTTGTTCCGTGCGAAAAGCTACTTTACACCTCAACAGCTTCTCATGATCTACAAAGCGCAGATACGGCCTGTTCTAGAATACTGTTCCCACATATGGGGTTCAGCACCAAAACATACACTGATGCTCTTAGATTCCATCCAGAGAAGAGCCATTCGCCTGGTGGGTGACGCCACACTCACTCACTCTTTGACATCATTGGAACATCGTAGAAAGGTCGGCGACCTTTCACTTTTCTATCGATACTTCCACGGGAAATGTTCTTCGGAAATCTCTGCTATCATCCCTTCACTAGCAATACCAATCAGACGAACTAGACAAGCCCAGTCAGCTCATCCTTTCGTTGTCAACCTCGAAAGATGTCGAACAGCACTTTATCAAGACTCCTTCATCCATAGAACGGCTAGGCTCTGGAATTCATTGCCTGTGGAAGTATTCCCAACAACATATAATCTCCAAAAGTTAAAAAAAAATTCCAATACCTACCTCCTGTCCCTATCCTCCCAAGGAACGCACGATGTTCTTTGAACATTATAGGGATTCCCTTTCGTGCGCTCCAAGCGATAAAAAAAAAAAAAAAAAAAAAAGGAGATTTTCCAGTGACCAGTTGTATAAAGAAACTGGAATATTTGACACTCGCCAGATATTTTTCTGTAAATTAGCTACATACTGTCATCAAGATAAGCTTAAATTTGGTTCCTATACACATTCATACGAAACTCGAAATGAAATAAATGAAAACTTACCAACTGCCACCAGCACCAAAACTGTTGGACAAAGAAGTCGTATCTACAATTCCCTACCCCAAACCATTAGAAATATAATTCCTCACCATATTTTCAGATATAATATGAAAAAATTCTTGCATTCCGTAGAAAGACGTAGAATTCACCACATTATAAATAATACAGCCCCTCCGAATTAAATAAAATTTCATTTGATAGCTTTCACCGCATTCTCGATCAATTCATCATCAAATATTTCCCAATAACTTCTTGATGTATTTTATCACTTATTTTTATTGTTATTCATTTAGTATTAGTCGCAAAATTATATTAATAATCTATAGTATTGTTATACTCAATTATTAGGAATTTAGTAGGTACTTTTTAAATCACTCACACCGCGGACAGCCAGTGGCTTTGCGGTTTGTCCCTCTGTTTATTTGCATTCATAGTATATAAGATGTTATGTTGTTGAACTTTATCCAAATGAACCTTATTATTATTATCACCATGATTTGAATTGATGTAATTCCAGTCACGACCCTGCGGCCTTCGACGTCACGCAGAGTTGTGCTGGATAAAATCCAGTGACTACTCCTCACAGCCTGTGAGGTGAGTAATCACTGGGACCAAGTACCGTGTGCCCTGAGTAGACGCAATGATCCTAGTATGACGGCCTTCTGCATTCCACCAGCCAGGATGTGTGCCTTATCACGGCACGCTGGGATTTTCTGGATCTCCGAGAGCAGCGTGTGTCGTGTGCCTCCTAGGGAGCCGATAATCAGGATGACCAATTCCACAGAATGGTCTGGATAGAGCCGGCGGAGTTCGAAGAGAAGATCTCGATATTTAGTCCGTTTTTCCTCCTCCTTCAAAACGATGTTCGGTTCGGCTGGCGCCGAAAACTCGATCACGAACATCGCTCTGGTTTGATGGTCGAGGAGGACTACATCAGGCTTGTTAGCTTGTATCTGCCTGGGGGTGGGGAATGAGAAGTTCCAATAAATTCGGCACCTCTCATTCTCCACAACGGACTCAATATCCCCCGGAGCATAGGGCAGCACTGGGGTCTCGTCTATTCCGTACGAGTGCCTCAAGTGATAATAGAGCACTCGCAATGCCGCATTGTGTCTATGGATATAGGCCGAGACTGCATACACCGTGCAAGAAGACAGCAGGTGCATAATTGTCTCGGGCGCCCGAGATTATTATTATTATCATTATTATTATTATGTGAAGGTGCTATTACAAGTTTGTTTCCACTGCGAATGTTTTTTGGACCATGTGAGACTCTCTACTGAAGTGAGTGTGTCTGAATAGGTGATATTTTTCCATTTCTTATCGATTCTGATAAAATTTCTTCTTCTTGAGTAGTTTCGCACTCAAAATATTGTGGATTGTAGGTACCATATTCATTTGATAGAAATATGCTTACCTGTTGAACATGCTCTTTCATTCCTAGCCATTGTTTGTATGAGATTGAGATGCCACTGTTTTTCCATTTATCGTAAATACATTTTCTTCCTGGATCACACAGTACTTCTTTGGCTTCCTGGAAAAGAATATATCTAGTATAACAACTTTCAATGGGAGCAAACTTAAGAGTCTTTCAACAAGGACCGGTCGATGTTGACAGTGTGTGGCGGCGGGTGTGTTTTTTTGAGGGCATCTGTCAAATCTGTTTTCAATACCTTCAGTATAGTGTTGAGTGCTATTCATCCCGGAATATTGAAATATTATGGAATTCATCTCCATGACAGATTTCGTCATGTGAGTTATTTTGTTTTAACATTTCAATCGAACACTGAAAAAAAAAGATGGTAGTAATTACCAAACGTTTAGTAAAATAGGCGCCAGTCACAACTTTCATCAAATGATACCACTACAACATTATATAATACTACTACAAAATAGTATAATACTCATAGTTTGGTATTATATAGTGTTGTAGTGGTATTATTTGATGAAAGTTGTGACTGGCGCCTATTTTACTAAACGTTTGGTAATAACTACCATCTTTCTCTTCTAGTGAACTACCAATGAGGAAGCAAAATATAAAAATCGAAAATATAGCACATTCAGGTTTCTAGCAGCCAATCTACAGCCGAAACCACAGAGCCGAAACACAGAAACGGAAATATCATGTTTTCGATCATCAACACAGATTTTTTTTTTATCGATTGGAGCGCACGAAAGGGAATCCCTATAATGTTCAAAGAACATCGTGCGTTCCTAGGGAGGATAGGAACAGGAGGTAGGTATTGGAATTTTTTTTGAACTCTTGGAGATTATATGTTGTTGGGAATACTTCCACAGGCAATGAATTCCAGAGCCTAGCCGTTCTATGGATGAAGGAGTCTTGAGTGCTGTTCGACATCTTTTGAGGTTGACAACGAAAGGAGTGCTGACTGGGCTTGTCTAGTTCGTCTGATTGGTATTGCTAGTGAAGGGATGATTGCAGAGATTTCTGAAGAACATTTCCCGTGGAAGTATCGATAGAAAAGTAAAAGGTCGCCGACCTTTCTACGGTGTTCCAATGATGTCAAAGAGTGAGTGAGTGTGGCGTTACCCACCAGGCGAATGGCTCTTCTCTGGATGGAATCTAAGAGCATCAGCGTATGTTTTGGTGCTGAACCCCATATGTGGGAACAGTATTCTAGAACAGGCCGTATCTGAGCTTTGTAGATATTTTGACTAATCAAAAACATGTATTTTGGAATAAGTGGAATAATCGTATGTGATGTCACGAGTGTATTGATTATTATCGGAATACAAATCCTTCTGATTTTGAGTGTTCATTACTGGTACATTCTTTGCATTTATATTATTTAGTGATTAATTCAGTAGTAAGTCCCTACTATGAATCAATATAGTTCCAAGAAAATATTGATATATTGTTATCGATAAAGCTTTGTTTAGTTCATTCATTCAAAATTCATTATCCTAGTTGAAATTTGCACGATTTCCAAACTACCAATGACGAAGCGAAATACAAAATCGAAAACACAGCTAATAAGTATTCAGTGTACCCAATTAACTGCCGAAACACGAAATCAAGAACACAATGTTTCCGATTATCAACACAGATATTTCAATCAATCAGGAATGGTTATTTCAAAATCAGTGGAATAATCAATTGAGTCAGACGGTGCTTTTGGCAAGAGCCGTTTAATATTTCAATTTATCAACGTTCTGTATCACTTTTGACGGTTGCTACAGAAAAGATATATTGTACCTATTCAATACAAAAAGTTCAAGAAGTTTTGAAATAGATATCCAAATAAAATCTCTGAAGAACTTTTAGCGTCATTCACATCATATTATAGTCAATATCAAGCAGTAAACAGAGACCAGTTATTTGACGAGCAATCTGAATATATACAAATAGACAGAACATTCCAAGAAAACACGATACTCACTTTCAGTAATTGAAACTTTTGTTCAGCTTCTTTGTTCCCCTCATTCTTGTCTGGATGATATTGAAGAGCCCGTACTTTGTACTCGGCATTTATTTGTTCTACCTGAAATGTGAATAACAAAAGGATATTATGTTATTATACCCTATTGACAAATGTATACACTGTGCATGGGTGGAATATGAACCAAAAATTCAGAAATATTTCGAACAGATCCTATCCACTTATTATTATGAAGAAATATGTTCAATACCATTCAAGATATACATGGTGATTATCGGATAACAAGGATATCAAGTAGGTATAGTGAGTTGGCCTTCACCAAAAACTGGAGCAACGATGACTTGGTAAGCATTCTATCTGGAGAAAAATTATTTCTTGAGGACGTAAATTATTACAAAGGAGCGCTACAATCATTTTCACACTGCGTCATTGGCGTCGGGTTTTTATTTTTGCGATAGGTTCTCTTGGTACAGATTGTGACTCAAGAGGCGGAAAGATTCTGAATCATTTACAAATCATTTTGGAACTGTCAGGCATTCTAGAATTCTTTTTCAGATGTAGGGTAAATGGTTGCTCCGATACCTCGAGACGTCTTTGAAATGTTTGCGATGAATTGCGTTGCTATGGAAAAATCGCCATCTTATGGAATTTGAATTTTATTTCAATAGGTGGATTCTTTCAGTTGTACAATAACATTCAACATCTGAACTGCAACAAGGAATATTTTCACTCATTTTTCCAAATTTTTTGGGATTTTCTCTTCTCGTTTCTATAAAATAAAAATATGAATATTATTCCAATATACGTGTATGAAGGACAAATCAGATGATTTGCCCCAAAATGTCACTGTGTTTAAAGAATTTTCCTATCAGAGAGCCTAAAAGAAAAATTCACTAGCTTGTCAGTGACAATTTGTATTGAAAACATTTTTGGAGAAGGGAAATAAACGTATATAGAAAAAATAACAAATTTTCACTTATCTTTGGACGTTTCGGGACCGGTTCTGCTCCCGTTTTCAACATGAGAAGAGATTATTTCAATAGCGAAGTCGTATAATGTCTTGAAGCTTTTCAGTTTTCAATGACAATTGGTGACGTTGGCAATCAAATGAGTTACAGGATGTTTTCATTAATTGATCTTGAATATACCATTTTCATGTTCAGATTTTAGTAGTGAATACCATGTTCTGTCTATATCAACTGAACAAGAAGCAATGCTATTGTCTCAGTTCAGAAGAATGCAAGCAGATTCCTTGATTTTTCTCTTCTGGTTTTCATCTTCTTTTCCAATAATTTTAATATTATTCCACTCTGCCATATGTTGTCCGTCTTCAGTAAGGATTTGTTCAGCTAGTTTCGATTTATCGATGTTTGTTTTCTTTATATTGTACTTATGTTTCTTCGTCCTTACTGAAAGAGGTCTCTTGGTTTCACCTGTATAAAACTTTCCACAAACACAAGGTATACTGTAAATACAATTTTTTGACGATTGTTCTTCATTTTTCGGCTTTGTTTGAGTTAGAATTGATCTCATTGTATTTTCAGTTTTGAACACAGTTTTCACTTGAAATTTATCACCAACACGTTTTATTTTTTCAGATATGCCGGGAATGTATGGTATTATATTTGTCGTTATTGATGGTTGATTTTGTTGTGGTTGACCCTCTGTTTGTTTTCAATTTGATGAATCGTCCTATCGACAAAATTCTTTGGATAAGAATTGAGTTGGAGAACAATTCTAATGTGGTGGACTTCGTTATTGAAAATTTGTTGGTCAGATGATATTGATTTGGCTCTATCATGGAGTGATTTGATTATTCCTTTCTTAATACTTTTCTGATGATTTGATTGAAAGTTCAAGTATCTGTTAGTATGGGTCTTTTTACGATAAACACTCGTTACAAAGATGTTATTTGATTTTTCAATAAGAACATCTAGAAACGGTAATTGATTATTAGATAGAGTCAAATCAATATCATCTGACCAACAAATTTTGGAAACAGTATTTTCGGATCTCAGCCTTATATCGGGTACATTTATGTGAATATTCATCAATGAGTCAGGTACATTAATCAAATTATGTAAGATATCAAAAATAAACAAGATCTGAATTTTCTCACGCCGTTTACTCAAAGTTTTTATGTTGAAGTCCATCCTTTGGTGTTCATATGATACTCTCATTGGATATACACCATATTTTTTCGAATGCATAGGTCTCAGAAGTTTCTTCTGAATCTTTTCAAGCGTATTAGAACATAATTCTGCCTCAGGATTCCATATAATACAATAGTACTCGCAACAGTACTCCAACTTTGATATGATATATGAGTTAAAAAGCATTATGCAAGTTTGATACTGAAAATCCGTACTGGATCTCATTATAAAACCTAGTTTTCTATAGCACTCCCTGCTAAGGCACTTGACATGTTCATTGAATGAAAAATACCTTGTAAAAAGTACACCCAGATCTCTGATTTCATCTCGGATTTCATCTAATATTTCCAGATCAACATCGTTGATGGTATAGTTTACAAGGAATTCTTTTTTTCTTTTTGTATATGGAACTATTTTACATTTCGATTCATTTAGTGAAAGGTCATTATCATTGCAATACTTAGTTATCTCATTAATAATACATTGAAATGTTTTTGTATCCTCTACTGAGGTTATTTTCATAAAAACTTTCAAGTCATCTGCATATAGAAGAAATTTTGCATCTTTGAGGTAATCATCAATATCATTGACAAATATAACAAAAAGCAACGGTCCCAAAATCTATGCTATGTGATTGTGAGCTGTTGAATTTTACAGAGTTTAGACGATTTGTCGAATATGATTTGATGAATGCAACCAGATTTTTATCAGATGAGAATGATGTCAACAACTTATTTAGTTGAACATTGTGATTTACCTTATCGAAGGCCTTTGCTCCTCTGATAATACAGTGGATATGTGATTATAGATCTTAATATGCATAATTTTTTCCAATATTTTTGAGGGTGAGGGCAAGATAGTGATTGGTCTGTAGTTTGTGATTTAGTTTGCTTTGCCAGATATGTGAATCGAAATTATACGCCCAATTTTGAAACTATCAGGATATGTATTACATGCCAGTGATTTATTGAAAATTATTTGTTGGGGTGATGCCAATAGGCAAGCATATGCTTTGAAGAAGTAGGTTGGTATTCCATCTACACCCATTGCAGATTTAGGTTTCAATGATTGAATGGCTTCAAGAATATCAGATATTTGTATGTTTTCTATTTGTAGACTATTGAGACCATAGTTTTTATATTCAGTGTCTCGGGGAATATCTGTACCTTCACTATATACTGATTTGAAGAAGTTTGCAGAGGCATTAGAAATATCCTTGTCAGATTCTATTATCTCATCTTTGTACACAAATCTATTGGCGATAGAAGAATTACTTCTTTTATTTTTCAGAAAATCCCAGAAGTATTTCGGATCACAATTGATTTGTTCCTCAATGGTCTTGATATGATTTTCGTGGCATGTTCTGATTAGTATTTTGGTTTCACTTCTCAATTCTCTAAACCTCTGTAGATATTCTGGATTATGTTTTGATTTTTTGCATAGACGTTTCTTCAATTTTATTTTTTGGACAAGTTCTTTGGAGAACCAGTGTGGATATTTGTTTCTGTATTTTGTTTTACGTGGAACACATTCATCCAAGATCATGTACAGAGTGTTATAGAATTGAGCAGTGCATTCGTTTGGATCATTTGAGTTGACAGTATTAACCCAATCACACTGACCTAGCAAGTGGTATAACCTATGATAGTCCCCTTTTTTGTAATCATAATTATGATCAGTGTTTTTATCAACTTGTGCATGTTGTCCTTTTTTACAACTTATTTTGAAGTTAATTTCTATAATACCCTTAATGAGCATGATGTTTACAAATTCAGAGGCGTGCAAAAAAGGGGCTCATGATATCTAAAATGAAAATTAACGTTTTTATTGAAAAAAAATATATCAGATTCAATGATCGTTACAGTTTAAAAATTGTCATAAATGAATTACCATGATGTTGACAAATGCAGAGGCGTGCAAAAAGTGATAAAAATTCCAGTTCCATGATTTATTTTATTCTCATTTATTTACAAGTAGCATACATGTAATTGATTCTTATTCAGTGAATCCATCGGCGTACAAAGAAAAATAATATATGCTCACGTACATAAGAGAACGTTATTCAAGAAACTAAAAAGAAACCCCAAATGAATGGATATTTATAAAGAAAGGATATGAATCTCATTTCAGTAAGGCGTTGTTCCCTCCCTCCAGCCTGAATAACTGCCTGGCGCCGACTTGTCATGCTCGAAGCTAATTCGTTGAGAAACTGTCTCCCAGATGTCTAGAATCATCCTTACGAGATCGTCAAGAAATTCTGGCTGACGTTCCGTTCGGGGAAATTTCATCTTCATCCAACTTCAGATGTGCTCAGTAGAATTCAAGTTTGGAGATTCACTACGAATAATATTTCGGTCTTGCAGATACCTGTTTACTAATATTGCCCAATGAGGCCGAGCATTATCGTCAACAAGAATAGAATCTTCGCCATAATTTCGAGCATGCGGAAGAACTTCCTGAATCAGTCATTCATTCAGGTAGACTCTGCCGTTGACATTGCCTCGAAACACCACAAGAGTTGTCTTTCCGTTGTGTTGAATACCGCCCCAAACATCACCACCAAATTCAACTTGAGGACGCATGTTTCCTTCAAGGAAACGTTTTTCCCGTCTCCTCCAAGTTAACAATCGACCGTCAGAAATATAAAAGTTGAAACGACATTCATCAGTGAAAAGACAGTCGCTTCATCGTAGATGCCATTGCATATGTTTTTCGGACCGTCTCCTTCTGCCCGCCCGGTGAATATTCGTTGAAAGTGGGCATTTTGCAGTGCGTACTATTGCTCGGTCCTGACGAAGACTTGTTATTTTTTGACTACCTTCACCGTGTCGGTAAACAGCAGTACCATTGTCAGCTTATCTTTTCAAAGCTCTTCCTACAGATGATTTCTCGACATCAAGTAGGTAAGTCGGCATTATCTGTTATTGTATAATTTCTTTGCCGCAATCT